TCCTTGGCGTGTGGTTTCCCCTTCGATATCCCGGTGACAGCTGACACATGCATCCACTTCCACCTCTGGCGAAGGAGCTGCATACCCATGGTCGTTCTCCGGACTGGACATTAACCCATTTCCCTCGAATAAATTGTGATACGAAAAAAGAAAAAACGCCTCGCTGACATCTTTTTGTGCCGCTCGCATAAAGTCTGCGGGAAAATTTTCGTTTTTATTATACCCGTTACTCGTAGAGTAAAACGAATTTTTTCTTCATTTCTTAATTTTAATTCTTTTTAATACTTACCGAGATTCCAGAAATTATGAAACTAAGAAATGTCCCAAGGCTGAAATTGTAGTCTCCATAACTCAACTTATCCTATTCGCATTTTGAAGCGGCATACCTCTAAATGTTTCTGGCGCAATTCTCTAAAAACCTGCATTCAAATTTAGAAATTTTTTTTTTTCAAAATTTTTTGTAATTTTTTTGATGTTATGATGTTACAACAGTAGAAATTCAAAAAATAAGAAATGACCCAAGACTGAAGTTCTAAAGTCCATAACTCAACTTATATTATTCGGATTTTGAAGCGGCATACCTCTAAATGTTTCTGGCGCAATTCTCTACAAATCTGCATTCAAATTTAGAAATTTATTTTTTTCAAATTTTTTTGTAATTTTCTTTGATGTTATAGAAATTCAAAAATCTAAGAAATGTCCCGAGGCTGAAGTTCTAAAGTCCATAACTCAACTTATATTATTCAGATATTGAAGTGGCATACCTCTAAATGTTTCTGGCGCAATTCTCTAAAAATCTGCATTCAAATTTAGAAATTTTTTTTTTTCAAAATTTTTTGTAATTTTTTTGATGTTGTAGAAATTCAAAAATCTAAGAAATGTCCCAAGGCTGAAGTTCTAAACTCCATAACTCAACTTATCTTAATCGGATTTTGAAGTGGCATACCTCTAAATGTTTCTGGCGCAATTCTCTAAAAAACTGCATTCAAATTTAGAAATTTATTTTTTTCAAATTTTTTTGTAATTTTTCTGATGTGATGATGTGTAGAAATTCAACAAAGTTAAGAAATGTCCCAAGGCTGAAGTTCAAAACTCCATAACTCAACTTATCTTATTCGGATTTTGAAGTGGCATACCTCTAAATGTTTCTGGCGCAATTCTCTAAAAAACTGCATTCAAATTTAGAAATTTATTTTTTTCAAATTTTTTTGTAATTTTTCTGATGTGATGATGTGTAGAAATTCAACAAAGTTAAGAAATGTCCCAAGGCTGAAGTTCAAAACTCCATAACTCAACTTATCTTATTCGGATTTTGAAGTGGCATACCTCTAAATGTTTCTGGCGCAATTCTCTAAAAAACTGCATTCAAATTTAGAAATTTATTTTTTTCAAATTTTTTTGTAATTTTTTTGATGTTATGATGTTGTAGAAATTCAAAAATCTAAGAAATGTCCCAAGGCTGAAGTTCTAAACTCCATAACTCAACTTATCTTAATCGGATTTTGAAGCGGCATACCTCTAAAGCGGCATACCTCTGTTTCTGGCGCAATTCTCTAAAAATCTGCATTCAAATTTAGAAAAAAAATTTTTTCAAATTTTTTTGTAATTTTTTTGATGTAGAAATTCAAAAATCTAGGAAATGTCCCAAGGCTGAAGTTCTGAACTCCATAACTCAACTTATCTTATTCGGATTTTGAAGCGGCATACCTCTAAATGTTTCTGGCGCAATTCTCTAAATATCTGCATTCAAATTTAGAAAATTTTTTTTTTCAAATTTTTTTGTAATTTTTTTGTTGTAGAAATTCAAAAATCTAAGAAATGTCCCAAGGCTGAAGTTCTAAACTCCATAACTCAACTTATCTTATTCGGATTTTGAAGTGGCATACCTCTAAATGTTTCTGGCGCAATTCTCTAAAAATCTGCATTCAAATTTAGAAATTTTTTTTTTCAAAATTTTTTGTATTTTTTTTCAATGTTATGATGTTGTAGAAATTCAAAAATCTAAAAAATGTCCCAAGGCTGAAGTTCTAAACTCCATAACTCAACTTATTTTAATCGGATTTTGAAGTGGCATACCTCTAAATGTTTCTGGCGCGATTCTCTAAAAAACTGCATTCAAATTTAGAAATTTATTTTTTTTCAATTTTTTTGTAATATTTCTGATGTGATGATGTGTAGAAATTCAACAATGTTAAGAAATGTCCCAAGGTTGAAGTTCAAAACTCCATAACTTAACTTATCTTAATCGGATTTTGATGTGGCATACCTCTAAATGTTTCTGGCGCAATTCTCTAAAAAACTGCATTCAAATTTAGAAATTTATTTTTTTTTAGTTTTTTTGTAATTTTTCTGATGTGATGATGTGTAGAAATTCAACAATGTTAAGAAATGTCCCAAGGCTGAAGTTCAAAACTCCATAACTCAACTAATCTTAATCGGATTTTGATGTGGCATACCTCTAAATGTTTCTTGCGTAATTCTCTAAAAAACTGCATTCAAATTTAGAAATTTATTTTTTTTCAATTTTTTTGTAATATTTCTGATGTGTAGAAATTCAACAATGTTAAGAAATGTCCCAAGGCTGAAGTTCAAAACTCCATAACTCAACTTATCTTAATCGGATTTTGAAGCGGCATGCCTCTAAATGTTTCTGGCGCAATTCTCTAAAAATCTGCATTCAAATTTAGAAATTTTTTTTTTTCAATTTTTTTGTAATTTTTTTGATGTTGTAGAAATTCAAAAATCTAGGAAATGTCCCAAGGCTGAAGTTCTAAACTCCATAACTCAACTTATCTTAATCGGATTTTGAAGCGGCATACCTCTAAATGTTTCTGGCGCAATTCTCTAAGCATCTGCATTCAAATTTTAAAAATTGTTTGGATTTAATTTGTTTGTAATTACAGCCATTACTCGTAGAGTTCTCCTTCGATATCCCGGTGACAGCTGACACATGCATCCATTTCCACCTCTGGCGAAGGAGCTGCATACCCATGGTCGTTCTTCGTACTGGATATTAACCCATTTCCCTCGAATAAATTGTGATACGAAAAAAGAAAAAACGCCTCTCTGACATCTTTTAGTGGCGGTCGCATAAAGTCTGTTGAAATCATCGGAATGTTGCGGGAAAATTTTCGTTTTCGTTGTCATTTTCATCTTTTATTATACCCCTTACTCGTAGAGTAAAAGGGTATACTAGATTCGTTGAAAAGTATGTAACAGGCCGAAGGAAATAACCATATAAAGTATATATATTGAAGTATATATAGCCATGTCCGTCTAGGTGTAAACACTCCATCTCAGGAACTACAAAAGCTAGAATGATGAGATTAAGCATGCAGCTTCCAGAGATTTAGACGCAGAGCAAGTTTATTGCCTAATGCCCACAAACATTCACGTCCACACTTTTGAAATATGTGATATTTTTTCATTTTTGAATATATCATGTAAATTTCTATAAATTTGCCAAACGCCCACTAACCTCCCAAAATTGTCACGCCCACACTTTTGAAAAATGGTTTTTTATATATCTTGTAAATGTCTTTAGATTTGCAAAAAACTTTTAGCAACGCCCCCATTTTTAAAAAATTGTAATTTTTTTTTTTTTTTTTTTACTTTTTTCGCAATTTCTACCGATATTCCAGAAAATGTTGAAATTTCTCTTTTGCACTTCCGCTAGCTGAGTAGCGGGTATCTGATAGTCGGGTACTCGACTATAGCATTCTATCTTGTTTTTTGTTATTTTTGGCTGCTGGCTGCTGCCTGCGCGCCATTTTTTACAGTCATTATATTAATATTAATGACCTGCGCCACGGATGTTGCTAAATATTTTGAAAGTTGCCTTTGTCTGACGGTCAAGCTAAAAAGCGCTCTGTAGTTTCTGGGCGAACATGGCGTATGCGTGATATTCAAATTAGTCTTTGCACTGAGTTAGTATCGCGGCTGTAAGTCAGCCACCATAACAGTCAATCAAAAAACCATCTGTAAACCAGACTAATTTGCATTTTTATCCGGACTCCGGAGCTCCGGACTGCGGATCTGGAAAACTCTGGCGAGAATCCGCAGAGCCATAGTTTCGCATTTGCACACATGTAATCATCAACAGCATAGGAAATCCTCTTGTTTTTCCGCTGCAACTTTTCCCGCTGCCTTTGTAGTTTTTAGTTTTAATGTTGGCATAGCATTAGTCCCAAGAGCCAACTGGGAGCATTTCCCATCCTCGCACCCTCTGCATTCCTGGTATTTGTTATTGTCATTGCTGTTAGCCCACAATGTAATTTGGTTTGGATTTTCACGACTTGTTGGCTTCATTCCCCCTCGTCAGCTCGCAATGGCAAATTTGCTGTTGCCCTCAGTCGATGGTTTTTCGGTTTCCCAATTTATTTATTTCCAGGCACTTTACTCGCTGGCTGCCCATTGTATTGCTGCCACATTGCAATTTCCAAATACATTCGCAATGGATTTGGATGTGGATGTGGATGTGGATGCGGATGTGGATTCTGCTGCTCTTTTTGGAATACTACACTGACCAGGGGCTTGATTAAAGTCCAAAGGCGAACAACAAATGAAAATACTATTTCTTGCACTTTGTTTATGCAAAGCAACTTGGGCGTCCTGCTGATGTGAAGGCAGTGTAAAGATTGCACTTTCATTGTATGCAAATTTATTCACTTCAAATTTTGTATGCCTAGTTCAAAAATTAAATAGGTTCCTAGTTTTAAGAGCATTTAGAAGCCGACTAGCACATTCGCGCCCTTTATCTATTGTTTCAAATTCAGCTTTCAATTTAAATTGTTTGGATTAGTCGTCCTATTGTGTACGTACATTGAAAATGTGTTCCGGGGTATTTATTGTGTCAACACCAAGTGAACGAGATAGTTGCACCCACTGACCACCACATGTCCCGATTCGGTTGCCCTGATTCTGATTTGTCTGCCAGACAATAGGACGTCGCTAATGTCCCCGCGCCGTAATACGAATTTAGATAGATACGAGAGTATGAATCGTGTCGCTGCTAATGTGCCAGTATTGTATTTGCTTAATTATTCTGGTCGATTTAAGCATTTAACTTTTGAAAGGAGCTGTCAAACTGCGATGTCAGCACGTCAGTCGGGGGCATCAACAATACGAGCAATATTCCGCACACAAAAGGCGAAGAAGAATCGCACTAATCGCCGAGCATTTTTCCCGTGGGCGGATGACGTCTTAAAGTTGCTCCAACAGGTCTCTGGCTGATTGTTTACATTTGCCGCCATGTATTAGCCATTGTTATGGTAAAGACTTTATAATAATTTAGGGCACAAAGTGCCGCCAATGTTTACATGTCCTCATTCTCCTCCTCGTCATCATCAGCCACGCCCACCGCCTTGTCGGGATAGAATTTCTTGAGTATCCTGTTCACGTCGGGCACCAGTATCTCGTACTCCAAAGGGAACTTGTCCCGACGCGGCGGTCCCTTATCCAGGCCGGACCACAGCAAGTGCTCCGAGGTGCGGGCATTTTGCGAGAACGTTATCTCGAAGGCTCCTTCCCGGGGAACCTGGCGTCCGTTTCGGTTCTTCACCAGCTGGAACTTGCGCTCCGGAATCCGTTGGGTGAGGAATGTGCCGCACTCGTCGGCCTTGGTCTGGAAAATGGGACACTCGTACGTGTGCTCGATGTAGATCATGGATCGATCCTTGGTGAAGTTCTCATCGGCGGCCCAGTCCACATCCTTTTTCTTTTTACCCGGTCGCTTGGGCGGCATTTTCGCCAAATGTTCAGAATTTCGAATTTATTTATTTTGCTGATAACCAAAGCCAATTGTGTTTCGAATGTTGACAAACCTAGAACTCATAATTGCTTTGATTGATTGCTTTTTTGGTATTCTTATGACTCTCGGGCAAAGTACTGTGTACCATAAATCTTATTTCGTATATTAAAAGTGCGCAGCGCTGTCCAGAATATTTTTGCTCTGCCTATTTTTAAAATGCACGACAATCCGAAAGAGTCAACAACTTTTGGGGCACGCAAGCCGAAAAAAAGCCGTGCAACAACCATTCGTTGTTCGATTGTTAATTTGGCTACATTGACTGACAACGCAGCCGCCTTTGAAAAAAATTACACAAAACGAATTTGAATAGATGAACAGACGATTGTTTCCATTGGCTGAGTCGCAACATTTTCTTCATTATATATGGATTGGTGTATATTATATGCAACCCGGTCCACAAAGCTCCAATATAGACGTCAATTTATGGCACTGTCTATATTCAGGCAGAACAGCTACTCAACAAATTCTATGCATAACAATAATATATTGTTGGACACAAACATGCATAAACATTAAAGAGCAAACATAAAAAATCGAGTATTTAAAGCAGGCAAATTATACGGGGCTAGCATATTGTCGACAATCAGATATCCTTTACCAATTCCATTTAGTACAAATATTGGTAATCGCTGATATTGAGTTTTCACTTGGAAAAATACATATTTAACAGAGATTACAGCTCAAGATGGACAAACCAATTATTTTGAAGTACTCTAAATGGGTTTAAGGCAAATGTAATTGGCCGAATTTGAGAGGCAACATATTCCTTTTATTATTTGTGCATTTTTAATTGGAATCATTTAAATTTTTATTTTGCAGCATAAACATGATTGCAACACTCTTTTATTTGCTCCAATTTATTGGTTGTCGGGACGAGATTGCAAATGGCCATTTATTGCATTTTATTTCGCCATTTCTCGTGGCTAAAGCTGAATGATTTTTTACTTTTTACTCTCAGCTGCCCACACGTGGCCCGCATTTTCCTGAGCCCCATCCCCCCGACCTAGAAGAGGGTCATGGTTTATTTATGCAATTTTCCAATTTTCCCAACATCGGCCCACAAATAAAACCGAAATGAATGCATACAAAATGCAGCAAGAGCTGGAAATTTAACAAAAAAAAGATGTATATGAAAATGCAATTTGCAAATTAACAATAACGGGAAAGTAAACAACAATGACAATGACGTCACAGTGAAACACAACAAAATGTATTCGTTGGGTTAAGAATGCGACATTTGGCGGGCACACATATCTATGCGCATAAACTGTGTATTTAAACTAGGGCCATTTTGAAGCAATATTCAAATGAGCCAAAAGAATATCTCAACAAATGTATCTGGGCACTCGGAGTATCCGAATGTGGGTTTTTGTGTTTTCCGCTGTGGAAAAATAATCATCGATGCTGCGGCTTCAGTGGGGCAGCGCCAAGAGCAACAAATTTAAATATATTTATTATTTCGAATAGGTAGGTGTATATGTGTACACCGCACACGCATGTCTGCACATACTTCAGATATATTTTTAAAAAATCAAAACGACAATTTGCCTGCAGCATTTTGAAATACAACAGAACTTGACGTCGCCGTCGCCGTCGACGTCGCCGTCGGCAGCAGCAGAGCTCGGCGATCGGCGAGCGAAAATTTTAGGCGGCTGCAGGCAGCGCCACTCGATCGTACCGCTTAGTGCCACGCCGTGTCTCAGAGCGCCCAGGCCACGGGCCCCGAACCGTACCGCTGCGGAAAGTATATCTTGGAACCATATATATGCCACAGATCTGAAACTCCCGCACCGGATATATTATACTCCAAGCCCACTACAACTGCCCACTTCCTTGGGAAAGTGCGCGATTAAGCCCCACCATTATCAGCATCCGTCATGCAGGTCTTCGATAACAATATGGTAAGTGAAATCTTGAAATCTAGTCTGCGGCAGTAAAGCCATTTGTCGCCACACTTAGCCCAGTTAGCTTAACCCAGAAATGCCAATACACAAACTCCAGTCTCGCCCCTTTTGGCTGCGGAAAAGGATATTCCTTGGCGGAAACGAAGGAGCAAAAGCAGGGGGGTTATAGCCAGCCAGGAAGTCATGCGGTGTTCAGAACGGGCCGCCAAATTAATTACAAAAATTCACTTAATGGCCACGATCCAAGTGGGTCAACGTACGTGTGCTAGCCGCTAGAAATTGAAGCATGCACAATGCTAAATGCAAAACTTAAGTGTTGCGCCAAAGACTTGTCAAAATTCTACCGCCTGTCTGGCATTAAATGCAACTTAAATGGGTGTAGGATGTCTACATTACAGTCAGATACAGAATTGCACAATAGAAGTCTTGACATTGGGGCAAACGATTATGGACATTCCAGAATGGATTGGATTTTTTCCAAACGAAATACCCATTAAATACATTTTCGGCGTGGCCAGAGCAAGTATTTCTGCAACGCCAGAACTTTCCATTCCATTGGATTCGTTCGCATCATCTAAAAATAAATATCCATATCTTTATTAATAATAAAAATAAGCTTGGGGACATATACCGATTTCTTGGCAGCTGAGCGACCCCATTAAGTACATAAATCGTACATAAATACAGATATATCTGAACCGGCGAGTGCATATAGATATGGATCGGATCGAAATTGTCGCCCATATGTAGGACACTTACAAAATGCGGCATTAGTCACATACACTCACGTATCGGTGGCAAACTAAACTAAGTCGCAAGAATTGGTGGCAAGGTCGCCGGATGACGAAAGCAATCCGAAATGACATGGTTGATTTCCTTTTGATATTCCAGACAGCACTAGGAGGTATAAATAGATCCGGCGATTTTACAAATCCGGCGCAGGCCAAATAGTCGGAGCAGCCGAAATGGAATTGGTTTATTTTCAGGCCGAATAAATCAATTGGCTTCTGTATTTATGCAGATGCCACCATTTGATTATTTCGCACTGTCGTTGATTTATGGCCAATGGCCAAAAGAGGCGGCCCAAAGGGAGCCTCTTTCCCATTCATTTGCCACCCACTGCCGCCCACTCCCGCCCCCCGCCTACCATTTTCCAGCCATTTCACAACCGCCCATTTTCCAGTGGCTTTCCTCTTTTTCGAGAGCACTGTGCACGTCATGTGTAATTGCTATACGTCAATGTCAATGTGTGGGTTAGCGTCTGTTAAATGCAAGCATATGTTGGTGTAAGTGCCTGTGATCGTTTTGGGATCCTGTGGCTGCAATTGGTTAGCTTTAATCAAATGCCTGATGATGTATTGTTGGCAAATATGTGCTCGACCATTTCATCGCCCACTGAAGGGGAACACTGAGCAGCAGTATTATCGATTTCAAAGGCAACTCGGAAGTCCTGAGTCAATAAATTGCATAGATTGCAATTCGCAAAAGACTCGCATCAGCTTTTGCTGATTGGCGGGCAACAGATTGCTGCTTACAGTTTTCAAGCGAATTTGGGCTAATCCAGATAAATCTCGCAGCTTACTGGGGAACTCCGGAAAACTCGGAACACCTGTCAAGGCGGAAAAATCACTCAATGCACTAGTGATTTTTTTCAAACGTATATCTTTGATTTTCTGCCATGGAGATGAAAACAAGAAGTGCATGCAATAATTTGCATATTCGCCTTATTTATCGATATCAAAACACAAACAAACAAGCGGCCGCAATTGTTTAAATATTCCCAAACAAACAATGCGCAGCTATTTTGTCTGGCTATTTATAGAGCTGCAAACTGAAATGCCAATTCGCCGAAATGAAATGAATAATTAAATCGAGATATGCCCGTATATACCCCAACTACAAGTGTACCCATCTTTCATCCTTTAGCGCCGCGCCTCGCGACGCGCCTCCTTGCGACGAGGATCCATATCGGCACTGCCGCAGAAAACGCACGAGATACCCTGGGACATATTCGAGCGACTGTTCATGCCCTTCCTGTTCTGCCAGGCGGCGGCCATCATCACGTCGCACCTGCTCCACGCCCTGGACATCTCCAGCATCTCGACCTTCGCCGTGTTCGTCTGGTTCGCCCTGGCCACCGTGGGAGCCGTGCTCTTCTACCACTTCGTCAAGGTAAGTCATGCCGCTTTGCAGACTTTCTAATCCTCAATTCTGGTGAAAACCGCAGTAGGAATCGGAGTGTCTTGGGCTCGGGGTTTTCGATTTCGGTTTCGGTTTCAGAGCCACGGGCGTCCATAAGTTCGGGCTTCTGGCTGCCGGGACTGGTCTTTATTTTTCCCTTCCGTTTTGGCCGGGTACAAGTGCCAAGACAAAACCACAAGTGACGACGGAGGGTCTCAAATACTAGGCAAAACAAATCAGTGGCACTAGAAATGGTCGTCGGGCCAGCAGAGAATCCATATCCACAAAGCGGCGGAAGGAGAGGGTCCTGTGGCAGGCACGTCGTCAACTTATGCTTAACCAGGCCGGCGGAGGAGCTGGGATGCACAGGAAACCCTTGACTGTGGATTTGGCTTCGGATTTGCGTCTGGTATTTCAGAGCTTATACTGTGCCTGGCAGCCAGCCGGGAAATGAAAATGAAAACAAATAAATAAGCGGCCGCAGTCCTGGTGGGGAAACCCGAGCAGAAGTTGCTGAAAGAAAAGGGTTTGGTAATGAATATAAATTCGCAAGTAGGAAAAATGTGGAGTCCTGATTCACTTGAGACCAACCGAAAATTGCCGGGAAGGAGCTATCTAGTAAATTGTTAGTCATTTCAATCTACTTTCGAACTTTCCTAGCCTTTAAGGGTTCTGCAGGCAGTCAATTATATTAAATTGTATCTATAAATAAGACTGCTTAGCTAGTCAATGGTTAGGCATACTTATGCCACTAACAACAAAACACCTTAGTTAACTAACGTATTTATTAAAACGAACTATCAATTCGTTCACTTAGTTGAGCCTCCATTGAATGCTGCTCGCAATCCGATTATCCAGGCGAAAATTTCCATTACACACCAACTATCCAACCTTTTCTTTGTGCATAACTTAATCCACAAAGTACCAAGTCATCGCCTTCC